TAGGTACATTTGTGCCTGCCTTGCTTATCCTGGGCTCTACACTGCCCAGGGGGGCAACCAAGCCACAGCGCGTCACGTGTGATCCAGACGTGAGCACTCTTCCTAATCTGCCCTGCAATCAATGGCATTGACAGCAAGGCACTCTAAAGGTACCGCTGTCAATCAACACTATTGTCAGTCTCCCAGCTGCTTATATCACATGCAGCACTGCCTGACAGGGAGGATAATAACATTGATTGACAGCGGCTCCTCTGGAGTGCCTTGCTGTTAGTGCCTCTGACTGCAAGGCAGACTGAAAAGAGTGCGTACATCAGGATAATATGTGACATGCTGTGGATTGGTCCTACACATGGTCCAATACCGAGTCCAGAATGAGCTAGGCGGTCGCTTGACCTGTGGGACAAAGTAAACCATAGACACGGCTTAGTTTTTTACATTAGACTGAGCATGCGGAATGCAGTAGCAATGTTGTAAAGAGTACAGAGGACTGCAGATTCTTACCACAGCAGACGAGGAAAAAGAATGTCACTGGGAGGATTAACAGGTACTGTATGTTTACTTTTATTAGTCCAGATAGTTTTACCAACAATTTATTGTGGTTTGGGGGTACAGCCATAGCTCCCCCCAACCTTGAGACCAAAGCTGCATTTATGGGCTAGCCAAGGCTGAAGTGATGCTGGAAGGGTTGCACTTTCCATTTAGTCCATGTTGGAGGCGGGTACTCCCTGACATAACACACAGGGGTTCTATCAAACTCTTGCATTGCTGTAGTGAACATTAGCTTTAAACCAGACCTTTACACTGCAGCCAAGTATATAATTAGTAAACTGGTTCAGATATATCAATGACATATGCTGGTGGCCTACTGGATTGGCTTTTGTGGGCAATGTTATTCTCTGGTGTTGTCCCACAGTATGAAATGTATTTGCATGGTGTGCCCTTGTTTAATTACACTATTTTAAACAATGCAGTACATTCACTGTATGCCTTTCCTGTATGTGGTAAGGCCTAGATATTACCTGTGTTCACGGCTGAAGAGAGAAGAGTTCAGTATTACATCATGGGGACCACAGGGAATATATCTACTGTTACACTGGTGTCTTTGGCTGTGCTCTTGCTCATTGTTACAAGCACAATTCTCATGTGTCTTCATGAGAAAGAAACTTGCATCTATAACCACATGAGAGCTCAACCACAGGAAGGTAAACAGAATGACAGGCTCAATATAATGCACCTTTGTGTAATAGGTTGTCTCAGTTCTATTTAAAGACAGCAAAAATACTCCTTAACAAAGATGGATGACAAAATAACCCCTTCCATGTTCAAACACTTCCTATATTCCCATCACACTCCTTACTAGAGAAGAGTGCTGAAGAGTGCTGAAATAGTTGCTGATCTACCAACATACCTTGAATCTTTGTTAATAAGAAATAATAATTGTTCTTAAAGAGATCACATTTCATCAGACATGCGATGATTACCATCACATATCTGATGAAGGGGTCCAGCATGGCACACAAAATGTTGCACTGTCTGCAATGCCCTCAATAAAAAAAAAATTGGACTTGATAACAAAGATCCATAGTGTGCTGGCGATATATTTCCCCGACCTTGTCTAAAAAGGTACATTTATGTGCCATACCTACCATAGAACATAACAATACAACAGTGGTTCAGTCACAAAAAGGACCTCTTGAGACACAGGCCTGGTGCAAATTGCTTCTTTTGCTACCCTGTTACTATGCCACTGTTTATGTGCCAGTTCATCTACTGGAGACTCGTAAAACACAATACAGAATTCAAATTATTGAAGTTTTTATATTCCAATAATGAAAAGGCAGAATATTACTTTATAGGGTGAAGCTGTTGAAATATAAATACAACCAAATAGCATTTTTGGATACTTTCTTTAAGAAATACTTTCTTTAATGATTAATATGAAACTGGTTTCATTGTAGACTGTGTTTGTGGCCACCCCCCTGAGTACCAGCATAGATCATGCAGGTAACAGAGATAGAACCCATTGCATCATGGGAACGCTGAATATTTGTATTTGTTTTTACTTGTTCAGATCTAATCAGGTTATTCATGCACAGGAAGAGGGTCGACCAAACAGAATAACAAAATGTCAGCTTTCTACCTGGAGGGTAGGGGCACTGGTCCTGCTTAGATGCGTAAGCATGGAGAGGTGCTCTCTCCTATGCTTTTATCACGGGAGGAACAATTTCAGACTTCAGTTACAGCCCCAGCTTTTTTCATAAAGGTCCTGCTTAGATGCGTAAGCATGGAGAGGTGCTATCTCCTATGCTTTTATCACAGGAGGAACAATTTCAGACTTCAGTTACAGCCCCAGCTTTTTTCATAATGTATATGGAGTGATCCCATTGAAGCTCACGGCTGCCATCTAGTGGACCAGCTGTAAATTAGAGCATAAAATTATGCGTTTAGACCCAAATCCAGCCAAACCCTTTTATGAACTTTTCAAGAGTGGACAGCACAATGGCTTAGTGGTTAGTAGTTATGCATTGCAGGACACTTTCTGCATGTCCTCCCTGAGAGTTTCCTCCCATACTCCAAAAACATGCTGGCAGGTTAATTGGCTATTGTATAAATTGGCTCTAGTATGTATGTGCATACTAGATGATCATTGCACACAGTCTACAATGAAACCTCCTATGGCAGACGCTTGCAACACTCCTTTGAGTGACTACTGCAGCTCTGGTATGCATTTCAGGCATGGAGCTACAGAAAAGTAAGGTCACAAATGCAGCAAAGATTGCAATGCGATCATGGCAGTAGGGAAAGGGATAGGAACAGAGTGGGGAAGTCAAGTCGTATTACCTTTTCTGTCACCACTCAACAGATTTGCTGTCGCCTCATGTCTATTTGATGGGTGATGAGTGGGCAGCAGATGCTTAGTGGTTAAGCACTTGTGCCTTACAACAATGGGGTTCTTGGTTTGGATCCCAGCCAGGACACTATCTGCATATTTTCCCGGTGCTAGTGAGGGTTTCCTCCCACACTAAAAAAAAAACATGCTGGTAAGCTAATTGGGTACTGTATAAATTGGTCCTAGTATGCGTGTGCAGCCTTCTATGGCAGACCCTTGCAACCAGTAGCTAAGGCAGCTGTGGTACACATTTCAGGTATGGAGCCACAAAAAAGTAATATCAGAAGTGCAACAAAGATCGCAATGCCGCCATGGTAGTAGGGTTGGTGATAGGAATAGAGAGGGGAAGACCAGGTCTTATTGCTGTTTTAGGAACGGCTTGACAGATTTCGCTTTCTGTCTATTTGATGGGTGAGAACTGGAATTGCGGAAGGGAAGACAATCTAAAGAAATAAAGCGCAATCTTTAAACCTGGCTGTTCAACACTTGGACGAGATGCACCTTATAAAAAGACTGCAAAAGATGAACAGTTCTAGTCTTTATTGTAGTTCAAACAAACATGTTTTTAGCAGATCACTAAGGGTTAATATGAGTATAGTTGCAAATTTTATCTAGAAGTATCTGCTATATAAGTGTTTCTGGAGTCCTCCTCCACTCCTTCACACTGCGTATCACTGTGCTCATCTCCTTTCTATGCATGCTATTAGCAATGTGACACAGGCAGGACGAAATTGGTTTGGAATTTTTCCTATCCTTTTATCCAGAGCTATTCAACTCCATATTTGAAGAACTGAAATTGTAAAAATATCCAGGGCTCAAAAATGATGTGAATTATTCACTGGGATAGAAAGACTTTCTGTATAAATTTAGGTGGAGTTACTACTCTCACTGTCTTTGTTGGCTTGGTATCCAATGGGTTCCTGGGACCAACACATCCCCTTCATCATGGCTTGGAACTGTTATCTGCACATTAAGTGGGCTCAGTGAGACAAGATACCGGACAACTTTGTGAAATATAAGTAAAACCAGTGTTTGAATGTTATCAGCAGCAGCCCTGATGAAGGGGAAGCGGCCGCATTGGCTATTTTATGAGGTCGCATTGTAAATCATTAAAGCAACTTGGACTTTTTCACTTGGTCTGGCGCTCCTCAAGTGTTTATTACAGTCTGTGCCCCCACTGGGGACATTTACCCTCTTTATTTGTCCCGGTGACCATTGCCACTGAGGCAGAAAGTGATGATAATAGGGACACTTTTCCAAGAGGGGAACTTCCCTTACTTTGTCAAGATTTGTTGTGTGTCTGGGACAGGAAGTGAAAGGAAATCTCTGTAACAGGACACGGACAGTAAGAAATAGACTGACAGGGGTTTTAGCCATTCCCTACTCTAGCTAAATAAAATAAAAATGTTTTGACTATGAATACACTTTAAACGAGTTGTAAAGTCCCAGCATACCGTATTTTAACATCCGTATTTGAATAGGTTGCTATCTAATAGCGGGAGACTCCCGGAGCTTCCAGGAGAGTTGAGATGTCTGGGAATACATACTACAGTTGTTTTTTGATAATGCAATCAAAGCTTACTTTTATGTATTGAGTGCTGCCTTCTGTCTGCCCATCGCGACAACAACTTCCTGAATTCTTAGTGTGCCTTGTGTCTCTTTCCTTGCTGCTTTATGTGATGCAGACTCAATTTCTCAACACAACATATCCCAGCAAGCAATGGTAATGTTACATTGTTCAGACGTTGAGTAGTTCAGAAGGCAGGCTTAGTGATATTTGTGACATAAGGAAGTGCACATTCACAGGGCTGAGTGAATTTGTGTCAGTACATTGAGGAAGTACATCCTATGAGCATCTTCAATAAGTACGTTTACAAAACGTCTAGATCGATATATCTTAGGCGGGGGATAGAACGTATGTAAATTCCATATAGTAATACATATTTATTTTTAGTTTTTGACCATAGATACCCTTAATGAGCTGTAGGCATCATAGTTACTTATATCAGCAATCTCATCAGAGTTGAATTGAGATGACAGATATCAATAGAGAATGCGCACTGCATATAACTGTCAAATACAGTACTTTCCATTAGTGGCTATGCTTTACCTGTTGTCAGATCTGTTGTCCAAATCAGTCCAGCTGATCAGATCACTTTTCTTATCACTGCAGAATATAAAGCATACACTGGCATAAGCAACAGCACACACAATTATGTTTCTGCTAGGTACTGCTGGCCAAACATACAAATATTTTCTATCCATTCCTTAACACTGTACAAACACTTATATAAAATGATGGAGAACTCATACGTCGATATCTTAGGTGCACAGAGAGTTTAAAAAAAAAAGAAAAATACCAAAAAGGTAGACACTGGATATATCCATCAATCTAGGGCAATCTGTCAAATTTTAAATTTAAAGTAGAACTGCAGTCTAATGTTTTTTTTAAGTTTTGGATAGAGTAATAGAGGGTTATAACCCCGGTAAAAATGTTTTGTCATCTGTGTCCCATTGGGGAGATTTCCCTTCACTGCCTGTCCAATAACCACAATAGGAAGTGAGATGAAATCCCTATAAAGTAAGAAAAATCCTTGGTGGCCAGAAGGGTCATTAGAACTAGTGTCCCCATTGGACAATTTCCCATCTATTCCTGTTTTGGTAACCACCCAAAATGTGGGATTTTCTTTACCTTTTTAGTGATACTGGTTGCTAAGGAAAATAGAAAGGGTGAGTCTTCCTAATGGGGACAACAATATAAACCGGACAGGTGTTCTAATCCCTCTCAACTCTAATTAAAAACCTAAAAAAGGTTTTAGCTTCAGTTGCACTTTAAGTTAACAAAATCTATAGAGTGTGTGTTGCTAAAAGACACCTGCCCAGGATACCAAGCATACAGGTTAATAACCACATAACAGAGGGCTCAGCCACTCACTGGCCCTTTAAATGTGGACGTGCCACCCCATATTCTCAATGATCCTGCTGGTACAGTGCTGAGTATGAATACACAAGCTGAACTGCAGAAGTGGACTAAACAAACTGCTGACAGAATGGATTGTTTCACATTTCCTAATCCTCGAACAGGAATTTTATTTGTGTACATATAAAATAAAGACACAGTAAGCTATCAAGCATAATTATGTGCAACAGTTCCTTTGTCAATGGTGTAAGTGACGTATTATAATTTTTTCTTGATGGCTTATAGAGGCAAGTTACACTCTTACCTTGAGGTGTCTTTTAGCTTTGTTTCTGTTCGAGGGACAGGTTTAGGAGGTGTGCTGGCAACAGAAATATGACAATAAATATAAAAAAATACAAAGATCTTTAATGAATATAAAACATAATGGTTTAAAGTTTCTAACCAATCAAGGAGAAATCACAAACGAAATTACATAGAGAAATATTTTCTGCTTGGGTCGACTCTTTCCAGCTAGTCTTACAATGCACACATTCAATATTGACAGCTGACTTTGACACACAAGGAAATATCAGTATCAGTACAGCAATGTATATGGGCCTTCTTCACTTCACCACTATGGTTATCATTAGGGAACTACATTTTCAGTATAAACCGACATTGCGTAGCCATGTCCAGAGGCAAACTAGAGTCCAGAGAATTCTACAACTGACCCCTGAAGGAGGAACCCACAAAAACCTCAAATTGTTAGGATACCTTATTTTGATAGGATCATTATATTCTCCAATGCCTTATAACAGGGTACACCCTAAATATACATAGGGATCTATTAAACAGGATAGTGTATCGGGAGATACATATATACACTGAGTGGCCAGATTATTATGACCACCCCATCATCACACCGATCAGCCCTAATATTATGACTACTAAGAGGTGAAGTGACTAACATGGATTATCTTGTTTCAATGGCACCTGCAAGTGGGTGGGATATATAAGGCAGCAAATGAACATTTTATCCCTGAAGCTGATGTGTTGGAAGCAGAGAAAATGGGCAAGCATAAAGATTTAGTGACTTTGAGAAGTGCCAAACTGTGATGGCTGGACGACTGGAAGATGTTCCCGGTTTGCAGTGGTCAGGACGTACCAAAAGTGGTCCAAGGCAGAAAATATGGTGAACCAGTGACAGGGTCATGGGCGGCCAAGGCTCATTGATGCATATGGGGATTGCAGGCTGGCCAGTGTAGTCTGACCCAATAGAAGAGCTACTGTAGCTCAAATTGCTGAAAAAGTTAATGCTGATCCTGATAGAAAAGTGTGCCGCAAATCTGATTTCGTTTTGAAATTTGAAAAGCAAATCTTGTTTTCCATTGGAATCTTTCTCTCTCTTAGGTTTTACACTAATACTGGTGTATCTAGTTTTTGTTTAAAAGTGACAGGTGAATCTTATTTGTACTTGGAATCTGTTATGTTGTATGCTAAGGCTTGTTGGCAAATCTTTGATTTCAATGTGAGGAGCGAATCCAGTAATCGGAATCTCTTTATTATGTTGTTTGCTGATGGGGGAATATGGACAAACAAATGTCCAACACACATTTCCTGTTACAATCACACAGTGAATTCTTTATAAAAAGACCTCTAAGAGTATCTATATCTACTGTACATCCTGTCGAATAGTATTGGAGAATATGATAGTCCTCTCAAGGAAGGAATCATAATAATTTTAGGTTTTTGTGGGTTGCTCTGGAGGGTTTATTTAGCCAAAATGTTTTTTTGTTTTTTTTTTTAGGTTTTCTCATGGAGAAAACTCATCACTCATGGAGATTTTTTTATTTTTAATGAAATTTATTGAGTATAAAGTTTTTACCTTGTCCATCACAAATCAAAGGGACAGCTGTGTTTTATGACTAACTTCTATATATTCACAAAGTATTATTCAGGCTTTATCCACAAGAAGATCCCAGACTTTGTACAAATACTTCAAAGCTTAAGAAATTCACACGTTAATGCAAAAAGAGGAAGAGGTCATGCTACAAAGAACTAATGAGAAACAAGGCAGACTTTGCAAAGAAAATACACAATGAAAGCAAAATATCATTCAGACGGCAGACAGCAGTTCATTGTGTATACAGTAATTGCACATTACACATAGAAATAAATCACCAAAGCTGCTTTTACCATAACAGCACATGTTCAGCTCCTTGGCATCAGTGTAAAAAAAGGAAGGAGGAGGGAGGGGTTGCGCCAAGCAAAAGCAAAGCATAACATTTGTTTTTGTCCCATTCGTAGTGACCGTATGTCCTGTTGTAAACGGGACAGTACCGTTATTTCTTCATTTTCCCCCATCCCATAGTTTCTTTTTTTTTTTTTAAACAATTTTGTTCGCTTTTCTTCTTAGTAGTGCGCTCTGAGTCCGTGCGACCGTCCGTCCGCATTGATATAAATGTTAAGATGACCGCAACTGCGGCCCGCCATAACTTCTACATCCATGCAGCCAGCCAGTCTCATTACGGATGACCACAGAGCACACTCCTAAGAAGTCTCCACCAGCACTCATTCTTCCTCCGCGGCAGCACTGACTGGGAGGAAGTTACGGAATTGTGCCATGGAGTGTGATAAGTTTTATGATAAGGTATTGCAAGACTGAAATTTGCTGCAAAAAATTACTTAATTTGAAAAATATTTGTGGTAAAATCATGGTGAAGTACAGTCCACCTCTATGTCTACCTACATTTTTGTATGCGTTCTGTCACTGAAGAATAATTGTTGAGATGTGCATTTAATTTCGGACGAACTGCCAAATCAACTAATTTTAGTCAATTCGGCAGTTTAGTTCAAAAGGTATGGGGTCACTCATGAGATGTTTGCCCTGGGCCCACCAGTGTCTTAAAATTGCACGAGCTACAAAACTCCTTTAGGTGTTGCTATATCTCTTATTACAAAGAACATGCAAAGTGAGTTAGCCCCAACAACTAGTCTTACCAGTGGAAAACTACAAATCATGGAAAGTCCAACCAGCTATACTATATTCAGATTGTGTGAATATTAATTTCAATTATCCAATAATGTGAGCGCAATTTCCTGTTCACTTTTTCATCCAGTAATGTGCAGATACTTTGCACATGATTGAATATTTAATGAAGAATTAAGTGAAGATTCTCAACTTCTTTAGTAAATCAGCTCAAATGATTCTGATTATTGATAAGTTGATATGATTATTGATAATGATTATGATAATGATTGGATTGTAATAATTACATATTATTAGAATATGTAATAAGTAGTCATGCTGCACTCTTTTGAAGGGAAAGCTTCCAATCACGGAACTACATACTTAAATTAATAAAATAGTAATAAGGTGCGGCGATATTTTTACCTATCCTCTCTGATTATAGTGATTTTTCCAGGTCCAACCTGCATTATGGGTGTTGGATTCTCTGTGAGAGTTCTGGAGATGCTGGAAGATGTCAGTTTTGGAATGTCTGGACTATCTTTGTTACTATGAAAAAAAGCAGTTCTTAAAAGTTGGGTTTCAGAACACAAGACAGAAGAAGATTAAAAAAAAAAATCTGTCAAACTTTGGTAATTCAAAAAGAGTATATGAAGAAAAAATGCCTAAGCAGAGTCTACCGTCAGTGAAGACCTCAAAGTTATCAGTAGGCCAGGAGATAAATACAGCCTAAAATCTCTACCTTTCAGGTAAGAGTTAAGGTTTGACTAAACCCCTGCCACCTCCTGAATCTCTTTATTGGTCCCTAACTTTATTGGCAACCCCACTGACCAATAAAGCAGCTTGGGAGGTCTGAAGGGGTAAAGCCAAGCTCAATTTCTGTTAGAAAAGTCAATATTTGCATATTAATGTAGCTGCCTATATCTTTTAACCTACTGATCATTTTGATACTTTTCAATAAAGGTTACCTCTGATTATGTATTTTATTTATGATATGATCAGTTTGAAATTCCCTGGTTTGTTTAGGAGTAACTAAAAAGCCATAGGCCTCTGTATTTCATACAACAACCTTTTCTCTATTTCCAGCTGGGATTTCTTCTTTGTTAAGGTATCTATACACATTAGAGGATAGTCTTGGCTGGAATAAGCAACAACCTTATGTCCATGGGGCACTACAGTCACTGCTAGTCAAGGCTCATTAGGCAATGATGACCGGACAGGTTAGAAGACCTTGTCCAATTGATTATTTTTTTCTTCTGATAAGCCAATACATTAGATGTCTGCAGCATGCATCTGCTTCCTTGCTCCACAGGCTTAAACATGAATGTTTGACCAAATCAGGTTTAGAGGTGCACTGTTTCACATAGATTTCTGGGGACAGATTATGAGTACATGTCCAACCACGTTATTGGCTAAACTCTCTGTAGGGCTCTTCATAAACATGTATGCTTGCTTAAAAAGGTATACACAGCTCAAGAAAATCTGTCAATTCCCCCATCCATGCTAACTGCATGAATGGAGGAATCTCCACTGCCCGCTATTATATTCAGGGATGAATACATTGTAGTGTGATGCAGTCACTGTTTGGCTGATCATTTTTAAAATCGACTTGTGTTGATTCAGGTGGTGCATCATGGCCACCCACAGCTTGAGTTTTGGGACAATTCTGCATGAAATTGGCTGACATTCAAGCTGCCTATGGCCAGCTTTAGCCGAGCATACATCTTTGTCAATGGAGAGAGGAGGGGCAGGAGAAGCAGCCAGATGCTCCCGATTCTGCTTTTCTGTGGGGTAACCAAAGCAATTGGACAAAGTCTTCTAACCTATTCAATGGAATGCTCCTTCTGAAGGCAGTTTCTCAGTGGGTATGAGTTGCAGCCATTACAATTAGTGCACAGGATCTGGCTAATGTCAATTTTTCAGTTTTAATAAATCTAATAAGTCTGATAGATTGTTGACAACAGAAAATAAATGGGGATGTGAAACAAATAGAAATAATGTTTTATTCTGTATACAAGCTGGTAAATAAGGGGTGGAAATCGGTTCTGTTTCGAGCTGTGTGGCTTCCTAGCCCTTTTGTGTTTCACACTCTGAACTCCTATATTTTAGGCAGCAAGCAAAAATGTTGCAAATGGCCAGCTTTGTGTATCTGTATATTGAAGTGTTATATCAGATATCGGTTTTGTGATCATGGGGGTGAGATCTGGCTTTAGAACTTTGAATCACTGACCTGGAACAAGAATGCAGCAAGCAAAGTCAAAGTCAGATCCTGATCTGCCTAATTTTTCTTTGCACTAAATACGTCCAGCAAGTTTGCTGATCATTACATGTGCAATAATGTTACTATGGCAAATGTTATCGAGACCTGGATTGACCACAAACGGGTAAACTGTGGTAATTATGGGTCAACCTGGTAAATCTGAATATCTTATAAAAGGGCAACAGTTTTGCAAATGAAAACATGCTGAGTAATGGGATAGACTGATATTATGTGACTCCCTGTCTGAAGAAATATAAGGAAATGCAATACCAGATTTCAACAGCTAGTGGAGTTGCAGCAACTATGAACTGCCTAACTGGGCAGGCTTCTGCATTGTTGTACTCAAGAAGATGTAAGTGCCATAAACACACGTTTGTCACTAAAATACATTAAAAATGTTACTTACTATTGGCTAGTGAGGTCATCTATCACTGATAGGCTTATAGCAAGACAGGGCGGGACAGAGACTCTGGCCACACGAGATGGTTGCTGGTCACAATAAAAGGCGACTACAGAGGCAGAGCCATTTGTCAATCAGGTAGCGGGAAGGATCCCAACAATACTGTTGGAATCCATCCCAACTGCAGCATGGCTCTGTGCTTTTTGGGTCACTGGAGGACATTAGTAAATGTCCTCCTGTGACCCTTAAGGAGCTACATCAAAAAAAGGTTGGGCCATAGTTCTCTTTTAAAAACGAACAGTGAACCTGAATGAGCATTTTGTGCTTTTAACAGGCATGTTACAAACACCTCTGGTACTGACATATCAGGGGTAAACAAATGGTTTATAGCTGATTGCTATTTCCCCTGACAGCCCCAGTTTGCAGTGCCTACAATCAGACTGTAGTGTGTGTGGCTACCCTCAGGAAGTTCATACACATTAGATTAGTGCCTGATGCTATCGTCTAATGTTGACATCTAGTGCATATGGACACCATAGAGAAACGGTGAGATTTATTATGACCTCACAGTTGATGGCATGTCTGCTGCTCTGTGAAGTCACTAGAAGATAAAAGAATCCAGTTGGTAAATGCACCAAGTAGTGCCTAACCTAAAATGAAATATCAGCTTTGGGTAAAGTTGACCTTTAATACCTATATACATAAAAAACACAACTTTTTACCTTTCAACTTTGGGATCAACTGTCCTTGTAGTGGTAGTGACTTGTGTTGTCACTTTTGGGGGCTCCTTGTTACTGTCAGGACTATAAAATTGTAAAAATGATTACCGTACTTTTATTTAATTAAAAAGAAACAAAAAAAAAACAGTTTTAGGCTGTACTCTGCCTGATGAAAGTACTGAACTTGACACTAGTTCTAAGTGGTGCACAAGCAGGATTCAGTAGAGAAATGTATAAATCATGCATCCAAACTTCAAAATCTCTTCCATTAAAATGGAAATATTTAGCAAGTTAGCAATGGAAAAGGTATTCAACAGAGGAGTTAAGCCACTTTGGGGACCCAATTTATCCTGCAAAACTGCATGTATGTTAATTCTGTTGGAATGGAGGCAAAAATTAACATCATTAATGCATTTTCCTTACAAGTCGAATGTAATAACAGGGAAATTCCACATTGTGGCCACAAGATGGCACGGAGGAGAACAGGAAAAAAAACAAAAAACTAATTGATATTGGTCGCCAGGACAATTGGAGAGGGTGACTCTCCTTAACGAAGACACAGAAAACAATAAACAAGGCCAGATGTTCTAATCCTTCTCAGCTCTATCCATAACGAAAAACTATTTTGACTTTAGTTCTACTTAAAGGGCTTATTCCCACACATGCATTACCGCAGCACAATACTGTGAATGGGCCCTAAAAGAATATCCCCCAAGAAGCAAATTGTTCTGATGTTTGAACAGAATTCTGCAGAACCGTGGGTCCAGGGCATGTCCTGCCATAGAAATGAAAAGGCAGCCACTGGGCCAAGCTGTCCACTACAGAAATGAATAATAGGGGAGGGACAGCTTGGCCCAGTGGCAGCCTAGTCACTACTATGGTGGATATTGGCTCAATGATCACTTGTTAATTTCTATGGTGGGACATGTCCTTGACCCACAGAGACATATGCATGTTTATGGCCAGCCTAACTCCACCCAAATCCGACCATGTAAGTCATCCACTATCTTCCTCTCAAGGACTCTGGATGCAAGATATCTGCATCCACAATCCCAATTCTTTTCTACAGCCATTGCAAGGAACCTGCTGCATTCTCCTTTGATTCATGCCTTTCACTTCATGGTGATTTCAACACCATGACTTGACTTCATAGCTGCAAGTGAAGCAGTAAAAAATCATTCTATAAAATGTATAACATGAATTGAATGAAATGACAGTTTGCATTTACCTTTCTTCTCTAAGGACTGTTATCTTCCCAGGTCCCGCTTGTATACTTGAGCTTTTTGTCTCCGTGATATCACTGTATGATGTCAGCTTTGGCATGTCGGGGTTAATGTTTCCACTATTAAGAAGTAAATAAAATGTTATATTTTTCTTTATCTTACAAGGAAACCAAAGAATAGTGTGGATCATACATAGTTTATTATATAACAAAAAAAAGTGTGTGATTTTAAATGGACCTGTCACTTTGGCAATAATATATTATCTGATGGGTTCTTATTAGTACTTTGGAAGTAAGGGAGACCATACACAAATTGAAGCAAGCAATACTGCAGCTTTGGAGCTTTACTCGTGGCAATAATGGTTCTCTGTCTATGAGTGGACCTGATCTCCTTCATTGAAGAAGAATAGGATCAAAAACACCATGCATGCCCCATAAGGATTGCAGACCATTCCACTGCTTAGTACACTCATGGAAGGATGTAGAAATACCCCGCCTGGTAATCACATCCAAAGCATGTTAACATGGCCACCAGAAAATTACATTACATTGCCGCTGCTGTGTAAAACCTAGACACCCCAGATATGCATGGTCTGAGCCAGGTGCATCGGCTGTCCTGGATCAAAGTCTGCAAGGGGGCTTTCCACCTTGTTATACTTATTTGGAACCATGAGTGGGTTTCAGCATCTGCATGTGAGGTCATACAATATGGCTCTGTCATGGTGGATTCTCAACATCGGCAAACAAATGAAAAAACTCACAACCTTTCCACAAGCACATTCCCATTGGATGAAATATATTACCTTTCAACTGTGGTGGTGACAGTCCTGGTGGTTGCTCTGTTTTCGGTAGGTTTGGGTGTTGTTTTCTCACTGTATAAAATAGAAGTTATAATTGTATTACTGTGTTCTAATAGTTACATGTGGTAAGTAGTAACGGGAAACAGTATAGTAATGGTATATTTTACAGATGCTCCATAGGTTGGTGATGGATAGATTGCTTGATAAAATCTCATATGTAAAAAAAATCTAGAGGAATGGAGGGTCAGCGATGCCTACAACCAATACTATGTTTTTGTTATGTTTTTAAATGGTAGAGAAACATCTGATGGGGCCACTATGGGCAGCACAAACTTTACCCCCTATCTGACCCTGACTATCTTCTGGTTTAAGGTCTGGCAGTGTTCAACTTCTAGGTACTGACATCAGCCTGTAAGGGCATTGCATACCTGGCTCCTTTTTGGAAATGACCACACATACATCTTCCTTGAAATGTGGCAGCTAAAGGTTAAAGCTGATCTCTAAGCAAACCGCTAAAAACACAGATGAAATGCATACATAGGAGCTGTTTTACCTACTACTAATTATTATTATTATACAGGATTTATTTAGCGCCAACATTTTGCAATACAATTCAAGACAAGATGGTAAGGAGGGCTAATGTATTTGTATTTCTGTTTATCCAGTTCTGAGAGGTACTCTGCCACACAGCACATCTCTGCCTAGCAGGGGAGGAGACACTATTTTTTTCTGCTGCCGTTTCACTTTCACTAACAGGTCTCCTCACCACCCCACCAGTGGAAGGAGCAGCAGCACACTTATTAGCACAGATTCACTCTTTCACTCTGATCTCTCCTACTATCAGAATGCTCTTTATATACTTGATTGGCTCCCTGTGCTGCCTCCTCTCTCTGAGCCCTGCTGTACAGACTGTAAAGTAGACTGAAAATGGCTAAAGTTACATTTATATATTTACACTGTTTGCATTAAGTGATGTAAAAATAAATACACAGCTACAAATCTGTTTCTTCTGCATCTGCTTGGAGCTCAGCGTTAGGGCCCATTCACACAATTGTTTTCTATGTGCCCTGTTCACACCACAACGTGGGTGTGATGTGTGATGTGGTGGGCTGTGGTAAAATACAGACATACTACATTTTTCAGCAGCACACTCAATGTCACCTGGGGTCACTACAGTGCAAAGTACTGCCCTGGGGAGACATGAATTAAGTGTACACTTTGTTCACTCCAAATAAAGTTAAGAAAAGCAGTGTTTATCAAGCCAGAAATGGCCAACAATGACAGCTTATTACAAACGCTGCATGTAAATAGTTTTACATTGCAACCCAGGGCTCATCAGAATCCTTGCTCAACTCTGATTCAGATGAGGTTTAGGTGGAGCCGTCAGGATATTGTTTTTAATTCAACTTTATTTTGTTGCACAAAAATTAATATATAATGGTTTTTAAAGTATATCTAATGTCAAAACCTTTTTTTTTTTATTTAGATAGGGAAAGGATAGGGTAGGGTTGAAGGGTTGAAATGCCTGATGTTGAGGAGATGCTCCTTTACTTCCTGTCTTGATACACAACAAGATGCAATAGAAAATCTCTCCCAAGGAAGGGAAATTCCTGTTGGGCCTTCTTTCTGCTGAACTTGGTGGACCACAAACCTAACTGTAAATATTCTGTGTGGCCAAGCAAATACCTTTCCTGTCTCAGAACGGTTATCTTTCCAGGTTCAGGATTGATGGTGGAGGTCTTTGTCTGTGTATTCCAGGATGACAGCTTAGGGCTTTCTGGACGGTCTGATACACTAAGAGAAAGTAATGTCAAAATTATTTCTACCCCTAACAAATGTCATCTCCAAGGAAAAATCCAACAGTTTTTCTATAATACATTATTGAAATAAGTAAATATGGAAAAATGTGTCCTGCTGTTAGTAAATGAATGAACACAGACCTAATTGGTAATTGGTAAAGCCATATATATCAGGCACATGGATCTGCTCAATTGCTTACAGTTATTTTCATGTTCTCTGTCAGTCACTATGACTTAATGAACACAATCACAATAGGTAAATAATAATCTTCCTTAGTAAGCAATAACATGGTGGAATTCAATTTACAAATTTGTTCATATTTACTAATGAACAAACAGAAGTCATATACTTCTGAACGGCTGAGGACAATAGTGCAATGCACTATACTGGACCACTTTATTCAATGGGAGAGTTTGAATCTATGTGGTTATATACGTTGCTTTTACATATATAAAAATGATTACGATAAACATTTGTGTTTGGGTGAGCGTCAAGTGCTAAACTAAATGTATAATATCTGCTTTGCTTCTGATAAAATCAAGCAGAATGCCAAGGTAAGTTTTGTAATACAAACCGTGCCGGTGATGTCTGGGATGTTGGCTGTATTGTTTGATTTGTTTTCCACTTATTTTCAAACCTGTAATAACAGATATGTAACACCAAGAATACATCAATCATAAAGAAAAAAGGACTACAAATAATTTTATCACAAGTACAGTACACTATATAGAAATTGGTGAAGGATAAAGGGTCACATTTAGTACATCTACCATCAGACCTGTGTCCAGGGCTGGATTTACCATTAGGCAGTGTATGCACGTGCCTACAGATGCCCTCCATAGACGGGCGCTGTGCAGGTACCTATTCTGCCTAATTCCTGGCGTTGTGTCAAGATACAGCACCGGCAATAGCAAGGAGGGTACATTCTGCACAAAATGCACACTCTTGCTCCAAGACCAGTGGTGCCTACAGGAGCCGCTGGCTTCCGCAAACACAAGGGAAGGATCCCAGCACTGCATAAGGCTGTCCTGTAAAACTCCTGTTAGGGCAGCCCTAAGCGACGCCGAGGTCTTTCTCTGCATATGTGAAAGCTGGCAAGTGCCGCAGCAGGTAAGGGCACTGGTTCAGGCTAAACAGATTTCCATTTGTGCCTACAGGCTGCCAAAATGGAAATCCAGCCCTGCCCGTGTACCCCAAAGCTCAGCACCTGGCCCCATAAGATATTTATGAATGAAAACATTTTTGTAAGCTCATTCTACATCATTTTATAAAAGTTATGCAACATACAGTGGGGGGAATTTATCAAAACTGGAACAAACAGAATCTGGAGCAGTTACCCATGGCAACCAATCAACATCTCTCTCCAGTTTGCTCAGGTAAGTTTTGAAAATGAGAAAGAGCAGCTGATTGGCTGCAGTGCAAATCTGCTCCAGTTTTGATAAATTCCGCCCAGTATATGTTAGTGTTAAATAATTAAGGTAAACCCAATCATTTAACAAAATGGATGAAACTAAGAAAGAAAATCTCAGCGTTGGCTTAAGAATCCTTTGTTGTTATTAGTGTAAAGTTTGGTAACAATGGGCTTTGAATCAATTTTATCTGTCTGGGGTCCCCCATAGTGATACTTACCAGCTATGACATCATAACTCTATGTATATGATTGTTATCACTTATATCATAGTGTCATGTCTAATAATGGTAGGCAATCATGTTCCTTATATAATATAATTTATATGTGGAAAGCGATGATGACAAATTATATAATTTAATGTCTGAAGAGATGTAATGTCACTAATTATATCTATAAAACATTGATTGGTGTGACTTCCTTTACATGATTCATGCTGAAAACATGGTAGATTGTGTAAAAGTTCATAATTAAAAGATATGTGCATTGCTTCAGGTGAAAATACTTGTAACACATAAGGAATCTATAGATACTATATAACGTTTTTTTTAAGGTGACAGGTTAAATGCTTTTAACACTGAGCTAAAATGTAAGTATCTTGTATAATGCCAAAAATAAATAGGGAGTACAGTTTTAATGCATTTTATTATTTTATGAAATGTATACGCATTTCAAAATCATAAACAAAATAAATAAATAAATAGGGAGTATAAGCAGAAAGAAAATATATTTGAACTAGATTTTTCCAGGGCACATAGCACATTCTGCTGAGGTTTTCTGAAAGAGTAATAAAGCCAGAATGAAATGCAATGCTATATAAGCTCACATACTACTGGCTGGCCTCTGAGTCTTTGTTCTTGTCATACATTGAAATATGTATTTAAAGAAGAACTCCAGGGAAAGTTTTCCTTAACCCTTGCAATGGGGCTACCCCGCACTGCAAGGATTAAGTGCTTGTTTTTGTCTAGATGCTAAAATAGCAAGTTATACTCACCCGAAGCTACGACCCGGCCAGCCGTCACAGCACACCCTCCAGACTGTCTCCTCCTCCTCTGCAGCATTGAAATCTTCCTCAGCGTCCACGGTGTATAGAACGTGATGATTTGTAGGACCTTAGACCGCTGCAGCGGAGGGGGAGAGATGCTCTAGGGCAGGGGTGCCCACAAGGTCGATCGCGATCTACCAGTCAGTCGCGTAGCGATCACTGGTAGATCGCATTTTTTTTCTTGCCTCAGGCGCAAAAGGAGCTGGCTACGGCTATGCTCCCGTGGTGCTCGTGCGGCTGCCAGCTGAATGTGTCAGACGCTGCAGATGGAAAGGTGGAAAGGACATCTCATGTGCAACGTCAGCCACATGAGCACCACGGGAGGACAGGACGCTGGGACCTGTAGGGCGCACTGGAATGTAAGCTGGCCGACTCCCTGCGTTCAGGTGCGGGAGGGGGTGTGGAGCTGTATTGAAGTCAATGGCATCGCCCACATTGCGATCGCCCGCACTCAGAACGCAGGCACATTAGTGCCTGCATTCCGGTCCAGTGCGATCTGCAAAAATAGTGCTCGCAGAATTTTTGTGGATCGCACTGGACTGGAACACAGGCACTAATGCAGGCGATCGCACTGTGGGCGAGGGGCCTGCCTGCGGAGCCTGGCTGCGGTGCCATTGACTTCAATGCACCGCCACGCCCCCTCCCACCCCTGAATGCAGGTGTTTTTTCGTTGGTAGATCTCAATGAGCTTGTCATTTGAAAAGTAGATCTCCAGACGAAAAATAGTGGGCGCCCCTGCTCTAGGGACTGGTCTAAGAACAAGCCGGCTCAGGTAGCCCCACTGCAAGGGTTAATAAACATTTTTTTCCTGGAGTTCTTCTTTACAGCATTTTCTTTTGTGCTTCTGTGACTGTGTTACCATGTACTGATGCCAATGGCAAGATTAACAAGATGTGAGCCTAGTGAGTGAGGTTTGGAAAGCTGTGTAAACAGTGTGAAAAGCACTGATGAGTGAATCATACATTTCTGCCCACAATGTTAACCCTTTGCCATCTATGAAGAATGTTTTTATAAGTTGCCTACATAACACCTCTTACACAGGGGTGAAGGCACTCCCAATGCTATGTGATAGTGCTGGGTGCCCATGCAACTAATCACTAAGCACCAGTGGGTGGGTGAGAGGGGTGTGAAACACATTCTACCCCATACTCAAAAGTAGCTGGTACATTACTTGGCTAGTGATGGCCAAATGGACTGGCAGAGGAGCAAAGGGTAGGTGAGTGTTGCTAGGGTGTGCATCATTAAAGTGAACCTGTTTCTTTGCCTTGTATGGGTAAAGAACTAGTTTGCTTTAACCCTATGAAGTGCACATTAATATAGAAAAGCACTACAAGGACTATTTATTGTCATAATAGTGGGAAATTGTGGTTTCAAGTAGTTTTTGGAAGAACATGTACAAGTGAATAGGTAATATTTTATCTATGATCAAACTGCCACCAGTTAGACTGATTGCACCCAGGAACATTAGAGAAAGAAACCAGTCTTTCAACATTCAGAGAAGATTACCTGCTGGCATCCTCATACAGGTATGAGTCCAGAGATTTCGGCGGAGATTCATCCTTCTTGTCTTTGACCTCCACCCTGTACAGAGAGAACAATCATTGTGAGATTCATGTCCTTACACTTCATGCCTATGTGGTGATCATCTAGAGACATACAGCTACAGGTTAGACTGGTTAGAAGGACTAAGAGGTATAATATAACCGAGAAACAAGCTGAAGATAAACATTGCCTGGATACATTCCAAAATGTTTACAGATACATTACAGTCAAAATTTAATGCAAATATTAAGCCACCCAATTATCAAATGGTTTCTGTGCAGATGGTTCTCAGCTCTCTTTTCGCACCACTGCTACCTAATTGTTTTATATATACATACACGTAATGCCTGTCCAAAAAAAAAGGTCACATGCTCTAATATTTAGTTGGCCCGCCTTTAGTATTGATTGCGACACGCATTCGCTGTGGCATTGTTTCCAAAAGCTTATTCAATGTCACAACGTTTATTTCCGTCCAGAGCTGCATTCATTTTTCAGCAAGATCTTGTAGTGATGATGGGAGCAACTGTATAAAAAGTCTTCCCCAGCACATCCCAAAGATTTTCAATGGGGTCAAGGTCTGGACTCTGTGGTGGCCAATCCATGTGTGCAAACGATGCCTCATTCTCCCTGAACCACTCTTTTATAATCTGAGCCCGATGAATCCTGAAATTGTCATCTTAGAATATGCCCAATGTGCCATCAGGGTAGAAAGAAAATCAATCCATTAATGGAAAAACCTGGTTATTCAGTATATTGAGATAAGCAGGGCTTGAAAAATGTTAGGCTGTCTCACCAGTCAGTCAAAAATTTCACCAGTCAGCATGACCGGACTATAGCCTTGCAATTTTAAAATTTTTGGGGGACAGCTGGAGCTTTCTTTTGGTGGTATTTAAATCACCGAGGTTTTTATTTTTTACTATATAATGAAAAAAGAAACTTAAATTATGAGAAAAAAAAGATTTCCCTACGTTATGTTATAAAACATTTATTCTTACCAATATTTTTGGTAAAATATAAAAGACGGGGTCACGTCGAATAAATAGACACCAAACATGTCAAGCCTTAAAATTGCGGGCACGCAAAATCGCAAAAAGACGACCACAACGAAAATTGGCCATAGGCGACACTTTAAAAGCTTTTATTGCTCATCAGTTTAGTGTTATTAGTGATTAATTGCCCTAAAATTATTGCTCGCACTCTGTCGTTCGCGGTGATATGTAACATGTGAGGCACAATAGGCACAATCGCCGTTTTCGCACTTAGGCGCACCCAACGCATGTTTGCGTGTGTATGTGGGGGGCGGGTCTAGATATGTCCTGTTGCACTCCTTACCGAGTCAAAGAATAAACCTGTAAATCAGGCGGGTGCTTGAAGTGACCATGGATGGCACCGTGAATGTCACAAAGTCCAGAAACGTCACCCGCACACCATTTAAATGTGACAAATCCATTAAATGACACATACTTGTCATTCGAATACAATTGTATTTGAATGACAAGTATGTGTCATTAAATGAATTTGTTTCACATTTAAATTGTGCTGTTGACGTTTCTTGAATATGTGGGGGGCGGGGGACTTAAAATTTTTTTTTTATACAGAACTTTATTGCTATCACATAGGGGACGAAGAAGCTCCCTATGTGATAACCAATTTACACGACAGGTCCTCTTTATGGATTGATAAATTATATATGTTTCAATAAATTAATTTTCTATATATATGGTCTGAAGTAACTTCTTTGGACAGCACACTGGACAGTGTCTGTGGACCCCCTCTTTTTTCCTCTTTATGGAGACATCAGGGGTCTCCAAGACCCCTAATGTCACCTAGGGACCCCCAGAGAAGCCGATGAAGCAGAGATCTGCTTCACCAGCTTCTCCCCAGCTTCTGTAACTATGGTTAGGCCATAGTTCTCTTTTAAGCCCATGTATGTGGTGGTGCCTAGTGAGGCCATGCAGTGCAAAGGTAGGTATCCACTTTTGGGTCACCTGAAACACACACAAACCACATTTCGATAATTGTGTCACATTTTGACCTGTGGTTTTTACCATAACGATGTAAAGAAACCTGCAGCAATCCCCCCCAAAAAACAATATTTCAGTTTGGGGGAGCAAGTATTCTACACAATGCGCACAGTGGGTCGCTCCATCTGCTGGCTCCCATCTGACAGCCTCCGATTGAAAAATCATGGGAGCTGGGTGGAAAATTGCTGGCTGAACAGCGCCTGCATCCAATCGGAAGGCACTGTTTAGGTATTTTGATAGCTGGCGGGGCCGACTGTCGTAATACAATAGCCCCAGCAGGAGATTCCTCCATCCACGCTTTAGAGTTCAGGTTAGGAGTTAGGGCGGGTTCACACCATTTTCTGGACCAGATCTGGAACACAGTGCATTAAGTTTTGCAGCGTTTTTGTCATGTTTTTACCGCAATTTACTGTGTTCCGGAGGTTTTTAGCTTAAAATGGGCTTTTGAGTGTGTTCCAGCGCATTTGTATGTGTTTTTGATGTGTTCTCATGCGTTCTAGTGCATTCCAGACCAGACAAAATGAGACATGCATTATTTTTCTGGTATGGTCGGAAACGGACTGTGCTGGTGTGAACAGAGGCCAGAAATAGCATCTGGTCTGGTCTGGAGATGATCTGGATGTGGTGTGAATAGGCCCTTAAGGACATAGCTTCAATGTTTAAATATATTGCTAACATTTTTGGGGGGGGGGGGGAGGGGAGTGAGGGTACAATTAATAAAAAATAAAACTAAATGTATTATTAATGGTTTACATCAGAAAAAGTTAAGAAGTAAAGGTGATACAAACCTTGCCGGTGATGTCTGCAGAGCTGGTTGTACACTTGGATTTGTTTTCCAGTTATTTTCAAACCTGTAAAAACAGACATGTAACATATAATTATAATTTAAGGAACTTTAGGGGAATAAAGACCTTTTTTACATGGCAGAATGTGTGGATTCCTGTGGTGGTAGTCATAGGAGGATGCAGATAGTTGTGGCTGCCTTTACAAAGCAATGACCAAAGCAATGACCAGCTGACAGTGACTAGTGTTCTCCATTGGTGTTGGGATGTTATCATACATGGAGCGATTATCTGCATTTAGGAAATGCCCCCGCTACCCGGCTGTTTGTGTCGTGAGGTGATTATCCGTCCCTCAGCACAGGTTGTGTGATTACATCTGAACATCTGCAAACTGTGGCCGCTGTCAGCCAGTCATTGCTCTGTACAGAGACAGCAACACATCCACCTACGACTCCTGCCGCAGGCATCTGCAGGATTCTTGTGGCAGTTTGCAAATGTTTACCATGTGACTGAGGCCTGACCAGGACGTATCAATCAGGAAGAAAAATGACCGCAAAATATTGTATCACAAACATGTAAAAAGTAATAAAAAGATGAAGCTCACATTCAGGCTCCATGTTTAGGGCGCGGAACCGCCCTAAACATAAAAAAAAAATGCCCTTCAGAGTACATAGTTCAGACTTTTGCGGCAGCTGCAAAATAGTACAAGCGCGATTTCATGGCGGACTCCGCATGTTTGCGGCTATAGTAATGGCGGAATGAGCAGAATCTGTGCAATTGTAAAGATTCTAGCGTTTGTGTGCCATGCGGCAAACACTATATGTGAATGGAGTCTCCAAGACCTGTGTGCCTGGAAGCCATACTCCTGACCACATAGGATATTGATACACAGAAATCCTGCAACTGGGTCATTCTGATAAATTGTATACAAATATACATTGCTTACAACAGCAAAAATAATAACAAATGGGCATTGTTGGTATTTTGCTTTAAAACACATTGTTGCCATCAGTGTGATGATCCAGAGCCGTAGCTAAGTCCTTTTGCACCCGATGGCCCCCCCCCCCCCAACAGTCATGTGATGTCATGCGCCTGCCTCCAGGACGTGTTTTTCTATTTTTTATTTTAAAACATTTTTTACTGTTGGTGGGGGGGCTTCGGGGAAATATTAGGGGTCTAAACAGACCCTTTTAAAATAGAAAAATAAATTGAGGACACAGAGTCCTGAATCTCTTTTTCTGCAGCCTCTGTTCTAAATGAATAGAAAGTACAGAGGCTTCCCATTCATTCAGAAAATAATTTATATCAAGCAGTCTCTGAATGGCCTCTGTACTGAGTGCTACTCCCCATTCAGAAACTCATGAATTAACAGGAAGTGATGTAAAGCACTTCCTGTTCATTCTTAACTGGGGACACCTAGTACTATGTGTCCCCAGTTATTTACAAACACGATCACTCCAGTGTTTGTAACAGAGGATCGGTACATATCACTGATATGTACCGATTCTACGCCGCTTAGCCAAGCACAGAGGGTGGCTCAGCCTGCAGCTTTTCCCCCGGATCCCTGCTGCTCTCCCAGGCAGAGACAGCGGGGATCTGAGGAGAAGTGAAGGAAGCGCTGCACTTGGTGGGGGGAGGAGGAAGCCGCTGTTATAGCAGCATGGCCAAGCGGTGAGGAGAGAGGATCCAGAGAAGCACCACTTCTCCCTCTTGGCTGAGCCCTGGCTGTGCCCCCCCCCCCCCCCACCGGCCGCCCCCCC